TAAATGATGATGTATCTTAAATATGCTCCCTCGCTCCCTTGCAGTTTCTAACATTTGCTGAACGGTTGGGGAATGTGAATATCGATATTATTCACCGGATTGACAGAACTGCGAGCTATGATGAGGTAAGAGAATGTTATACTAACCAGTCTTCTAATTATTCGTAGTGAATTTTCAGTCTCTCCTCTTAGAAGTAGATTGTTTTTCAAGCCATTCCTTTATGAACATGAAATGCATTAGACCTAATACAATAGCCATGCATGGCAAATTAGATTTAAATCAAATTTAAAATTTAAATGCTCAGTAGTCATATGTGGGTAGTTGCTACCTTATTGGACAAGTGCAGAAATGAAACGTTTCCATCATTGCAGAAAGTTCTATTGGGTGATGCTGTGTTAGACAACTGACTTGATACTCAGGTGGCTTCTGTGATCCCGGCCTCTCCCTGTCCCACATGCATTCCAAGAACTGTTGTAGATTCATATTCTGAAGCTACAATTTTAAAGAAATTATGAGCAAGTCACTTTCCTGGGGGTTAGTTTCCCCTTTTATTAAAAGGCACTAGGACTACATACGTAATTACTTTCTACTTCTAGCCATGCTGTAACTCAGTCACACTCTCAAAAAAATCTTGTTTTTTGTTGCGTCAAGTAATTAATTCTCTGCTAGGCTTTTTAAGATCCAGTATAACATGCTTTCAGCTTAGGAATTCGATCTCAGTTCTTAACTGTTCATCACTTGGCTGTAGTTGGACTCTGCTCACTCTCTCTTTGAATGCCTTGTCTCCAATGTATGAATTCAGTGTGTTAAATGATGTTCTCTGGGTAAGCACATAATGCTTGGGGAACTCACAGTTAAGGGAGCCTATCCTAAATTATTTGGGGTTGTAGGGTGGCGTGTTAAAAATGATAAAGTAGCCTGGCTGGTGTGACTCGGTGGTTGAGCATCATCCTATGAACCAGGAGGTCATGGTTTGATTCCTGGTCAGGGCACATGTCTGGGTTGCAAGCTAGACCCCCAGTGTGGGGTGTGCAGGAGGCAGCCAATTAGTTATTCTCTCTCATCATTGATGTTTCTCTCGCTCTCTCCCTCTCCTTTCCTCTCTGAAATCAATAAAAATAAATTTAAAAAAGTTTTAAAAAGATGAAGTAATTAAAGCAATACCTGAATTTAGTCTTGTTGTTTGTATAGATTTTGGCTTGGCAAAGAGGACAGGAAAGGCTGTTTAGGCTGAGGGAGAAGACTGTATAAAGGAACAGAGCCAGAAAATGCATGTCACATTCAGAAAACTACGAAGCAGTTCATTGTGGTTATCATTGTATGTAGGGTGTGTGCGTGTACATGTGTGTGTTGATGGTGACTGGGGGAAGGGAGAACCTGGTGAGAGAGTCAAGGATCATAAAGGGCTTCATATGGCAAGCTAAGTTTAGATTTTATCCTGAAGCTATGGGAATTCTAGGATTGTCAGTTAGGGGAGTGAGTGACATGATGAGGTTGATAAGGTTTAAGCTTTAGATCTCTCTGGCTTTAGTGTGGAGGAAAAAGTAGGACTGGAGTCACGGTAACCAGTTGTGAGGATTTGGTAGTTACCTAAGTAAGAAATGATTATGTAGCAGTCAAATGGAGAGAAGGGAAGGATTCCAGAGATATTAAATAAGTAGGATCAATAGGGCTTGTGACCTGCTGGATTGTGAGGATTTGGTAGTTACCTAAGTAAGAAATGATTATGGTAGTAGCAGTCAAATGGAGAGAAGAGAAGGATTCCAGAGATATTAAAGAAGTAGGATCAATAGGGCTTGTGACCTGCTGGGTATGCAGGGAGGAAGGGAATGGAAGTTTTTTGGTTTCAACAGCTAGATGGTTGAGGATATTATTCATCAAGATAGATTTGTAGGAAGAAGAGCGTGGGTTGGTTTTGTTTTGGGCTGGTTAAGTTTGATATACCTGTGACCATCCAAATGACGGTGTCCAAAAGACATTTGGATGTATGAATCTGGTGACTTCAGAGGTGAATTACTGACTTAACATTCAGCATATGGTTTATAGTTTAAGTCACAGGACAGGTTGAAAGTACTAAAGGGTTGAATGTTAAGTTAGTGGAGAAGAGAGCCTAGAATAGGATCCTGGACTGGATGGGCTTAATGGCCTCAATCAAGTGTCTGGCTGTTGACTGGGACTTGTTGGTCTAGGTCAGCCGTGGGCAAACTACGGCCCGCGGGCCGGATCCGGCCCGTTTGAAATGAATAAAACTAAAAAAAAAAAAGACCGTACCCTTTTATGTAATTATGTTTACTTTGAATTTAT